GCGCCTTACCTCTTATCGGTGTTTCTCTCTAATACGTTGGCCAACGATAACGAAGTAGAATCGAAGTAAGAAGATATAATAAAGAGTACTGAAGCTTACCGATAAATTCTAGAAGCCTATTCTTTTTCTACGAACATTGTGCACGGTTCAGGTAAAAAGAACAGGTAGAAATAAAAAGAAAGAAAACCAAAAAAAAAACAAAAAAAAGGGACGAAAGAGAAAGAGTGAGAAAGGCTATTGGAAAAGTTTCGACTCTTTTCATATATCGTAGATAACGATATTTATCTTTCACATTCTCGTAAAACCTTCGATTTGAAAGCACACGATTTATTTTTTTTCTGAGTGTTTATTTATTAAATGATTATTTATTAGAAAATTAAAGAAAACGAAGGAAAGCGAATCATAAAAGTTTTATTGAACGGCGAAATAATCATTGTTCTTTTATCGATCTTGATGGATAAAAATCAGGATCGATTAGGATTAAGATTGATAAGGAAAATAGAAAATAGTTACTATTTTATGATTCGTTATGAATCTTCTATATATTGTATTATTGAAATATTACTTTCAATAAATTTCATCTAATATAAAACAAAATAATGTAACAATGTAAAAAGTAACGTTTACTACGTTTTCGCATTTATTCGTCTCATTTATAAATTATAATAGTTTTAATTATATTCAATATATTTTCAATACAATTTCCGTCGGCGTAATCTATACTTCTTACTTTACTACTTACAAAAGTAATACGGTATATCTAGTCGATGAAATGAAAAAGAAAGAAAGTGGAATAATTTGTGACTTTGTTCGTTAATGGATAAAAGATCACTCGAAATGAAGGGTCTATGAAGAAGGCGATTGGTTATTCTCGAAGAAGATGAGTAGAGATCGTCGAAATCGAGCTGATTCAGTCGGTGGAAAAATCGAAAGAAATTCTCAAGCAGCGCGTTATCAGTCGTTATCTCTTGCGGTTAACTAGAAAGGAGTAATTAACAAGCCTGCAATTAACTCAGCCGACATTTCGATCGATCATCGATATCTTCTCCGTTCATATATAGATACTTACATGTACTTTTTTTTTCTTTCTTTCTTTTTTTTTTCCTTTTTCTTTTCCTTTTTTTTTGCGATATACACAGTAGGATAGTCGAATGAACATACACAAAAGTAAGCTAGAATATAGAAAAATCGCATATGATTCTCACGAATCGAGAGAAAATTATTGTATTCCGTGTGTTATTGGAAAATCCCACAGCTTACGGGAATTTTCCTTGGGAAAACGGTCTTTTGCGTTTTCTTTTTTTTTCGATGGATATCAGAACGCATAAACGTTTGCATGCATAGAAGCGTAGGGTGATTTTATGCTCGCGCATGCGCGTAACGCGCGGCCTGAGCTAAACATACACCAAATATATACAGATATACATAGATATATAAATGGAAAAGGACGAACTGTGTTTCCGAAAGAGAAAAGGGAGAAATAAAGTTAAAGGGAACAGAGAAAGAGAGAGAGAGAAAGAGAGAAGGAGAAAATAAAGTTAAAGGGAACAGACAGAGAAAGAGAGAGAGAAAAAGAGAGAGAGAGAGAGAGAGAGAGATAGAGAGAGGGATATGTTTAGAACGGTTCACAATTTTTATACCTTGCTTGTCCAGTCCGGGAGTACGTTTCGAAAAGAGAAGCCATAATATCGTGAAGTTCGTTGCACTTGTATACCACCGAAAAGTGCAATCTATGTTTTTCTACCAGTCAAAGACTACGTAAAAAACGAATTACTACGAGGTCACCTCTAAATATACCTACTCTTGTATGTATGTACGTATTTATGAATGTGTGTGTGTATATATATATATATATATATATATATATATATAGTACGGTTGAGACTCAGTAAAACTCCATCTACGAGTATGTAATAGAACGACGGGGTTCTACGGTGACCACGCTTTTACCTTTTTGCTTTCACAAAACTACGTTCTCGAAGTTATTCTCGCCATACGTGTATAAACGCCTCGTGAAAATTGTTGTTACCAGTAAAGTTGTACATATAAATGAATACAACATACCAATGGAAACTCCTAGATGATGACTTTATCGCATATAACGTTACAACGTTAGATCTTGTATATATGTATTTCTTATTAGAATACACTACAAGATTGTCTATGTATATCCATGTTACATATATACATATGTAGTTATGTATATATGTACTATAAGAAGCTTCCGATCGTTCTTACGTTGTCATGTAAGATGATTAATGATCTTGACGTTGTTGGATATATTTATGTATGAGAACGAGTGCTTTACACCTCGACTTATCAGAGTTAATTGAATCTCAAGAATACGCTTAGAAAATATCGTTCGAAAACAAACTAAAACTATTTGCTTTCGATTAATTTTAATAATGTGATTATAATAAATAGCTTTTTTTATTTTTCTTTTACTTTTTTTTATATATATATTTTATATAAATATTAAAATTTATATATATATATATATATATATTTTTTTTTTTTTATAGAGAATTTCAACGTAGATTGTAGACATTTTCAATCGGTCGATCTGACGGGTCACTTTTATTTACGTACTTAACGGTAAAAATATATACTTTAGAGACAGTACGAATTTGTTTTATATATGTATACATTCACTAAATGATTTAGTTACGTAGTACGTGCCACGGAGAATGATCCGTTGGATATTTCGAATATTTCCTGGCACAGTTCTACCATTGCGCTCTTTTATTATTAATTCTGTTGTTTGCTCTTAGAATTCAGGAGTACAAGAAATTTGCTTAAGAGGAGAAGTGAGAAAGAGATATGGCAGAATAACTGAGAATGAAAGAGAGAGAGAGAGAGAGAGAGAGGTAAATAATGCATTTTTAAAATTGCACGCGAAAATATGCATATAAACTTGTGAAAATATTGTTTTCTTTTGAGATTATCATTTTGAATGGTTGACAAAGAAGTAGAAAAGGAAAGGATATGACGTAGGAAAAGAAAAAGTTAACGAATCAGAAAGCGAGGATATAATTGAAATGGAAAGATAAAATGGGTTTGGTACTTGCGCAGTAAAATTCATTCGCTCGTGGAAGGAAGGATGTGACCTTTGATCTCTCGTGAAATCTCGAACGGCGTTTTTATTCATAGCTTGTGAATATAAAAAACTTTTGAAAAATCCTCGTATTCGCGAAAATGCTTATTTCCTTAGAAATTTTTTAATTTTAGCGAAAAAAAAAAAACGAAAAGAAAAAGAAAGAAAGAACAATAAATCGTGAAAACGAGAAAAGAAAAAGATCTGTAAATGACATTAAAAAATGACATAACAAAAAGGAATTCCATAACGAGAATTATATTATTTGAATATTATATTCGAATAATATCGAATAGTATCAATTTTAACGCGTGTTGAAAATAACGAAATGTACGTTCTACGCGATAAAATTTAACGGTGAACAATCGTTAAATTTGTCGAATCATACGATTTCTAACGATGTTTTCTGAACGATGAAATAAAGAATTGAAAAAAAAAAAAAGAAAAAAAGAAAAGAAAAGCAAAAAAGAAACGAGATAAAAATCTCGATACCCCCAATTCGTATCATTGCACTGACCGCAAACGAAGAAAACGAAGAAAACGAATTAATGAACGAACGAACGAATGAACGAACGAACGAACGAACGAACGAACGACAAAAAGGACTTCGAAGTCCCGAGTGAGCTCGTACGAGAAATAGGAATGAAACGACAATCTTTTTAATCCAGTTAAGCCGAAACCCAACGTGACGATGTCGATCGCAAGTGTTCGCGAAAGGAACGGGAAAATTAAAATTAAATTATCTTTCGCTCTCGTCGTGGAGAGTGCAAATTAATCGCTTCGAAGCCGTTGATAGGGTACCGCTAATCGGCCGAGTTCATTTTACTTCTTGCTTTTTCTTTTAAGGATCAGTTATGGAAAGTGAAGAAAGTTCTATTTTCTCTCTCTCCCTCTCTCTTTCTCTCTTTCTCTCTCTCTCTCTCTATCTCTCTCTTTCTCTATCTATCTATCTTTATTTTTCGCTTCTCTCGTTTTATCTCAAAAGTTTTATCCACACCGTCGACTTGTATCGATCAGGGTAGTATGGCATTCCATTGAGGAAGAACATTTTAAAACAAGACAAGACACGTAAAATCGTAAAATCCTAACATAATAAAGTAGATTCTGTTGTTTCCCAGTCTCGGTTACTGTTGTGAAATTGCCAATGATCATGGATCGTTATCGTTATCGTTCTCTTCATTCAACGTGAATCGAACGCGGTCTTTCATATCAGGTCAATCGTTGCTCGAAGAGTAAACGAGAGATAGAGAAAGAGTGAGAGAGAGAGAGAGAGAGAGAGAGACAGAGACAGATAGAAGTTGTGTTCCACGATTTGCCGGAGTGGAAGATCATCGATGGACTCGCATAGACGAGGAGAAACTTCGGCAGTTCCGCGCAATCCGTAATGACGTTGCGAAGAGAGAAGTCGAACATCGTTGCTATCTAAAAGACGACGAAAGTCTCGATACAAGGAGACGATACAAGTTCTACAGAATCGTCTCAGTAGCTTTCTTGGTAATACTTTCGAACACTTCCGTCAAAGGATCAGTTTTGTATCGATTCTTTTTTTGCCTTTACTTCACTGCGCGTTTTCCTTCTATACACACACACACACACACACACACACACATATACACACGCATATATATTTAGGTAGATAATATAAGTAACGATGTCGATCGAGTAGCTCTGTTATAAAAATATGAGAAAATTTTCAATAGCCTCTTTCGAGAGACATTCGATATAATCCATTTATATTGCATTTAGTAAATTTATGCGAAGATATCTGAGGGATAGACAGGGCGGACGGGTAGGGGAGATGGGTACGAGAGATCGAGTTTTATTATATCTCATTATATTGATAAAAATTAAGCTTTCATAATATTATTTTATAAAAGTATATAAAATATGATATTATACAATCGTGACGAGAAACAAACCAAAGAGTTTTCACGTTCTGTCTCTCTTGTTCACCGTCGACGAGTCCAGATAATACGTTTATACAAAGTTAAGGTTACAGTTGCCCCATAGTATCGAACTAGAATAAGCGGATCTGAAGGTAAACGGGAAGATGGAGAAATTTCCATAACGAGGAGAGTCGGGCGACAAAGCAATTACGTGGTTGATAATTATCGAAGCATACGCAAAGAGAAGAATGAGAAAGCGAAGGGGGAATTGTGAGAAGGGGGAATTGTGCGAAGGGGGACAGGGAAAGGATAGTGAATCTCCAACGGGGTTGCCGTTGAGTTTTACGATCTATGGAATATCTCTTGGTCATTCGCCTGTAAACTTTGACGGTCTATTTCCGTGCATTTCCGCCATTATTTCTGCAAACCGCTTCCGAGTACCGAGTTCCGTGGTTTCCCTTCGCATATCAAGGACAGCTTTGCTTAAGCTTTATGCTACTTGCCTCATTATATTTCCGTTATGGTATATCATATCATAGATGAGAAATGTGAGAATTATTGTAATACTTGGGAATGGTAGTTTTATACATTTGGACATTCATCGTTGTATTATTCATTGACAATTAAGGATTAATTTTAATATATTATAAAGCATCCGTAAAAAATCGTTCACATTAGTAGATCTAAAGAAAAATAATCACAACAACGTATACTTCGATATTATTTTGTGAAAAAAGAAAAAAAAAAAACAAAAGGAATCATAGAAAATTACGTATCATGAGGAATAATAATGGAACGATTGGGAAGGGAGGGAGTAAGGGGGGGAGATGAATATTCGTACCTTGTGCTTGGTTCGATGACGATGATAATGATTCGGCCTTGGATGCTCGACGAGGACGTGTTCGGTGGTAGAGGTGGCGGCGGAGGTGGTGGGTTCGGAGGCGGTCGCATTGGTTTTCGTCGGACGCGTATGAATCCTCGAGGATTGGCCTGCCGATTGTTGAGTCCTTCTCGGCGATTGTTGCCGTTCCTTTTGTGCCTCGTGACATCGACAGACAGGTGGAACAGTTGTACCGTGGCTTCCACCTCCGCCTCCACCACCACCTCCACTCCCGAAGGATCCACCTCCGCTTAATGCTGCCGCAGTCAGCTTGCTGGCATAATAATACATCGCGCACATTTATCCGACGAAAACTTAACACCACGTCCAGCACGCCACTTCACTCCTGTCATCACTGACGTTAGCGATGACGATCGACGATCCTTAGCTCGGTATAAACGAGCACGAAAGTGAAAGAATAAGCTATCACTCGCGACGACTCGACGATCTTTCCCTTGTCTTCGCGAGAAATCTACGAGCAGCAGGACTTCTTGGATCGGCTCCAACCAGAAAAGAAACGTCCTTAATCGCTCCTGCTTTCTTTCCTCCTTCTCCTTCACGATATTTATTTCTTTCGTAGAACCCGAATCGCTGTTTCTCTCATTTCTTCGATATCTAGGCCGAGGTCGAAGGTTGTTCTCGATCTTCCTCTCGTATTCTTCTTCTATCTTACGAAACGCGTTTCCTTAAGAAAGGAAAATTATTTCTAATCTTTTCTCTATATTTCTAAACATATAGGACAGATAAAACGACGATCATATTATAGAAAACGTTTGTATCGTATTTTCAAATAGAGTCCTTTCTACCTTTCTCTTTTTCTTTTCTTTTCTTTTTCTTTTTTTTTGTAGTTTCGCAATTTTACGTTAAAATAATCGAACGAATGCCTCGACAATTCTCCCTTAATGTTTGGAACTTCATTATGGTCACACGAAACGGAAGCGGTTGGCCTGCAAGCATACTTAACGATTGTTTCCCGGAGTTTCGTCGATGATGGAAGAGGACATAGGAGAGTTTGATGGAGATCGTCCTACTGAAAACCGTCCTACCGTGCTGATTCCGTCTACAATAGAGCTTCAACACTGCGAATACGAGGGAACTGACGGAATAGAGACTCACTCTTTCCATCTCTATCTCTTTCTATTTCTCTCTCTCTCTCTCTCTCTTTCTCTCTCTCTCTCTCTTTCTCTCTCTCTCTCTCTCTCTCTCTCTCTCTCTCTCTCACTCTCTCTCACTCTCACTCTAGCGACGACGAGAATGCGTCATGCTATGAAGAACGATGTTTCTCGATGCCGGTTTACGTTTGCTATGCGGCTGTCCTGCCGAAAATCGACCCACTGATCTGCTGTCGATTCGCGAATGGTACCGAAAAACAAATCCTACCGACAAGTCGAACAATGGTTTATCCACGAACAATGCAGGTTCATGTGCTGTTATAACATCCAAGAATGAAATAGCGACCTAAGCAGCATCATAAAGTGACTTTCTATCGAACGAAATGCATTCAACTTTATTATCTCCTAACTATTGTGTACTTAAGAATATCAAATACTATATTTCAAAAATAATGTTCATTAATAATGTTCGCTTTGAACTAATACTTTAGCAAATCTAATGTAGTTTCTACAATGGCTTCTAATTCGTCATTTGACATTTCAATAAAGCTTCAAAATCTGAAGTCCTATGAAGTAACCGATCAAAATGACTATTATATTACGATGAATCCTGTAATCAGCGACGTTCTTTTAAAGCATCACGTTATGTCGTGCCTAAAGCAAAGGGCTCTTCGAATTAATTTAGGAATCTCTTTGGGTTATGCTTTCACTTAGAATGGCTTTTGGATGCTCCAAAGAGCTCATTGAAATACAATTTAAATAGTTTACGAATAGTCCCCCAGTAAAATCTATAGATTTGATCAATCTTCCACTGAAGACAATCCATTTTAAATCCAATTAAAGTGAATAACAAAAGTCCTATATATATATATAAATATATATGTATATTTGACCAGTTATGCAGCAATGATAATTGTGAAAGAGGAAATAGGACATATTGAAAAAAAACATATGGTGCTATGGCATTAATCGTTTTAATCGAAGGTATCAAGATGAAAAAGAAGAACTTTATTTTCATCGTTTGTTCACAAAGAAACTTTGTTACAGAAAGTTCGTCTCACAATTACAACTGGTTAGAATCACTGAGACTCATTAATATCCAAATTGTATTCAACAAGAAAGTCAACTTGTATTTCCCATTTAAAATATCTGTTAATGAAACTTACATTTCTTATTTCTTCTTTTATCCTTTATATTCTTATTACAATACAGAACTTAATATATACGAAAAGGATCGCGTTATCTTATTCGTCGGAAAAGATGACGCTTTCTTTTTACTCCCTTGAAGATTCTTTTTACTTCCTCGAAATTACTTAGCAGTTTTATCGTTGATATTGTAATTGTTATCAAGCTATGTCTTAATTTTTCATTTTTAATTGAACGAAAAACTATAATATTTATATATTTTCAATGTAATTTTGATAAATGATCGTTTATGTATAATTAATATTTCTTAATTCATGAAATTCCTATGAAAAAGACGATGACTGTTTGTTAGCGATCGACGTATCCAACGTGTTACGCTAATCAGCAAAATTGAATACTCAACGGTGTAGGCATATTTACCAATAGGAAGAGCAGTAAACAGTCAAAGTATTCGCGATGCGTCGCGATAAATGCGTATAGCAAGCCGAACGAATGGATAATCATTAACGCGCGCTGACAATATCGATAATTAATTGTCATTGTGATCGGACGCAGATAGCCAGAGAGAGAGAGAGAGAGAGAGAGAGAGAGAGAGAGAGAGAGAGAGAGAGAGAGAGAGAGAGAGAGAGAGAGAGACAGAGATAGAGAAACAGTGAGATAGAGATAGAGACGCATTGACGAGGCTCGACATGACGTGATACATCACGATACAATGCTACGTGTCTGTCGAGACATGAATGTTGTATGAGACGGAATATTAGTGGCTCGTATCTTGTCCTTTGGGAAGATACTACGACGTTATGTCTCTATGATGATCATAGAACCACGAAGAATCCTTGTTATACAAATATATCGTAGTATAACTTGTCTTTTCATGATTCTATATTTTTTAATGATATTATACGAAGAAAAGAAAAGAAATATTGTGAAGGTGTGACTATTTTCGTAAAAAGAGATAAATTATGGAGTTTCCCAATGATGTAAAAAAAATGTATTAGACAAATATCGAAATTTGTCGAGATAGCAAATACGTAAAATCCATGAAGATAGAATGATACTTTTGTATAATAGTTCTTCTTTCTGTTTTTTTTTTTTTTCTTTTTTTTTTTCATTGGTATCATCGGCGATATTAATGATATTGAATTGATTTGATAAAGACACATGAACGAATGAAAAATAATTAATAAATGAACACTTTTTTTAAAATCGTATACAAAATTTCTCAGATATCTCTGTTATCGTATCCTTTGTATTTATTTTTCATTTCCAATTTGATACCAATGATAAAATTACATTTTAGAGATTGTACTCGAGCGAACGGTTTACGACTTTTGCGCCGATGGTCAAAGCTTTTTAAAGGAAACCTTTTTTACGATACTTTTCCTTTCTTTACGATCACTTAGAATTTAAATGGAACGTGATTTCGAGGTACCGAGAACGGACCCGTCGTAAAGTAGATAAAATCGTGCGTTATCGATCAACGTCAAAGAGTTATCCAGACGGAGAATTTTCATGCGAACTTATTGCGAAAAGTTTTTTCTTCTTTTTTTTTTTTCTTTTCTTTTTTTTTTCCTTTATCCAACATATCGAAATGACGAATTATTAATTATAGATCAATCGCTCTTGGTAAACCAATAATATTATCCATATCGTTTAGATCACAATTACTCATGACGAATTAGTTTAATGGTAATTAATATCAATTTTCTCGATAGCTCGATAAACTATCAGGAAGATTGGCTCTGATGTGCTATTCCTCTCATTTCCCTCCCCTCCTCAATTCTCTCTCTCCCTTCTCTCTCTTTCTCTCTCTCTCTCTCTCTCTCTCTCTCTCTCTCTCTCTCTCTCTCTCTCTCTGTCTGTATGTCTGTCTTTTGGGCTCACCGTACAACATATTCCCTACGATGGTACTAAAAATTTCTATCTCGTCAATCTGCCCGGTAATATCGAACCACTTCACTTATCCGATTTTCTCTGTCCCTCCAAGGTTTATCATCATCGTAATAAGAACGAGTATCGTCGAGAGAGCGCAGTTATCGATCGTAAAAGTAACTTAATTGAGAGACACGTACGATGAGTACGTTTTCGATAAATTTAATTCTCTGAGTGGAAGCGTTGGTGCACGCTTACGCACATTGACGTCATTTTAAAAAGCATTGAAAAATGGAAGGAAAGGGGGACGAGAAAAAAAGAGAAACGTGGTGATGATGGAGGATACGAGGCGGAGGAGGAAGAGGAAGAAAAAAAGAGAAAGAGATGGAGAAATGAGAAAACAGAAAATTTTACGCGGAGAGAAGGTTGAAACGAATTCGTTCGGCTGTTAAATCCCTTTCCTGTCTCTTTCTCCCTCTCTCTCTCTCTCTCTCTCTCTCTCTCTCTCTCTCTCTCTTCGTCTTTTTCTCTTAAAGCGCGATTTGCGAAACACTCTCGAATAGTTTCGAAGCTCATTGTCGCGGTAATTTCTTTCCGGACAGTTTCCAATAAACCTTCCCCTTCTTTCTATTCTCGACGTCCTTTAATCCATCTCTCTCCGTCCGTACGGAAGCATTATCGTTTTTTGTAAAGCTTTCACGACACCAATAGCAAAAGCAACAGCAATAGCAACAACAGCAACAAAAGCGGTAATTTCAAGTTTGGAAGGATTTTCAATGTTGACCAGGAGAGAAATGCAGAAAGAGAACGCAAACGAGAATGCCAAGGAGAACCGATGAATTTTCAGGCGACGCTTTGATACTTCCTCCGTGCCCTCGCAACTCGTACCACTTTTATGGAAACTCGCTCGAAGATTTACCTGTGAAGTTTTAAATGTTAACCGTGCGTGAACATACATACGCGCAGTGTATAATGTGTGTACAAAGGACTTTCGTTCGTATACTACGCTTATGAATGGAACCGTTCTCGCTTCTCTTGCAATTCCAATCACGACACGTTACGAGAGAATCGTAGGAAAAAAGAGAAACGTTTTACGTTGGAATACCATTGCCACAGTTTTATGTCCTATATCGAATATTCTTCCCCATTGACACGTTTTCTTTATAACCGTTCTACTAAATTTATTTCTTTTTGAAATACGTTTACGAAGACCGAAGAACAAATGAAGGTTTGAAAATCCCTCGTAAATGCCTCGGACGGGTTAAAAGAGAACAACGAGAGAAATGCGATGAAATACTATGTGAGAATGTTTTTTAACATTTATCGAAACAAAACACATTTACCCATACATATACAGGTGAAGTTACTTTTTTTAGGTCATCGTTCGTCGACCTCATTAATTTCGATCCCATCGCGCTCGTTCGTTAACGTGATTCACTTATTAAGAATTTTTATCGAACTTCGCTCGCCACGGATTTTTGTAAAGATTTCGAAGAAAGAAAGAAAGTAAGCGCACTTCTCGAGGACTCAATTAATTTTTAACTTCCACTTTGTTACTTTGCCATTCTTTCTTGCGATCGTTTGTACGTTTTTGACCTCGATTAAAAAAATTCTTGCAATTCTTCCAAATGCAAAATGTATTCGTGAAATTAACCGTTGACACGTTTAATACGCTTTTAATATGGACATTCATACATCATACTCCTTGATACATCATACTCCTCCCTCCCACTTCTTTCGTAACTTTTTAATTTGTCCAAAGAATTTCTTAATTAATTAACATATAATACGCCATATATACGTTCCATTTGAAATTTTTAATGTAACAGCTCTTACGTCTTTTCGATCTCTTTTTTTCTTCAAACTCCTTCCCATTGTATATTATTTTCAATTACATATTTGTGAGCGAAGATAAGCACGTCTGGGTGTTAATTAAATGGAACAATATATTGAAATTGATAAGATCATCGGTATAATTGTTTCTTGAGTTTCCTCAAACGCAATCTTTTTAAAATTTTGAAATCATTGAAAATGAAACAATCATTTTAA